ATTGTTTTTGCAGTGTAACCCTGAGTTAATCTAACCCAGACAGACATATAAACTAAAGTAAAACCCTAAAGGACACATTTTATAATGTGATAAATGGATTAAAAGAGCGGCAAACAAAAAAAAGGTGAATCTAAAAAGATTCTGCTTGGTGTTTGAGGAGCACCAATAAAACAGACCCCAACCAGGAAGGATCCGCTGCCCACCTGAGCGGTGAAGTTCTCAGCAGCCAGAGGCGGGTCGTTCTTGCTGTCACCAGCGACGTTCCCACGACGGATTTCCTTCACGGAAACGTTCTTGACGTTGAAGCCGACGTTGTCGCCGGGCAGAGCTTCGGGCAGAGACTCGTGGTGCATTTCCACAGACTTCACCTCAGTGGTCAGGTTGGGGGGAGCGAAGGTGACAACCATGCCGGGCTTCAGGACGCCGGTCTCAACGCGGCCGACGGGGACGGTTCCGATACCTGAGAGACAGAAGAGGAGCAGGTTTCTAAAACGATCTAGAAATAAGTAAATATTTCTAAAAGTAAGTGTATTTACCCTTATTTTGAGCAGGTAAATGAGATAGTTTTTAGTATTTTTACTCTTAAAATATGCACTTGAAATCAAACAATGCAATAGTGTTTTCTTATTTTAAGTGTGAATTCCCTTATTCCATTAGCAAAATGTCTCTTTTACCTCCTCAATCCAAGAATAAATGCACTTATTTTAAGAAAAAATTACTTATTTTGATGTCGATTTTTTCCAGTTTGGATTTAGTACGTGGGCGGCCTTTATTTTCTTTTTTGTGGCTCCTGAAGCTGCTTCTTTGGCTACTTTAGTGTCGCGCTTCAGGTTATATAAATGTTAGAAAAAAAATCCCCTTATTTAAAGCTTCAAAGCTCTTTGGAGAAGGTTTCTTTTACCAGACCAGCCTCCCAGTAGGAAAACATCCCACACTGCAAAAACGATCTAGAAATAAGTAAAAATTTCCTTAATTAAGTGTATTCACCCTTAATTTGAGGAGGTAAATGAGATAGTTTGCCAATGGAATGAGTAATTTTACTGTTAAAATAAGATAAGTAGATAATATGCACCTGAAATAAGACAATGCAATTATGTTTTATTATTTTAAGTGTAAATTGTCTTGTTCTATTGGCAAAATGTCTCTTTTACCTCCTCAATTCAAGAACAAATGCACTTAGTTTAAAGGAATAGTACACCCAAAACATGATTAGCCTTCATTTTCTACTCACCCCCATGCTGAACAACACTCTGG